TGAAAGTTTGCTTTTTGAAAATTGACAAGTATTTGTGCTTTTAATTTTAAACTAATAAATAAGCACCTTATTTGTATATTTTGCTTGGACATATATCAGTATGTCAAAGAGAAGAGAATTGTGGTGGCAGACTTACTATGAAAGCTCATTAATCCTAACATGCAAAAGAAATCTGAAACCTTCAAAAATAGTATTTTTTTTTCCCTTAGATATAACAGCTCACTAATAATTTTTAATTTTGTTCACAGAGAGCATCCGGATTAAAACAGGAAATAAATGACCTTGTAAAACAGAAGATTGCAGTAGATGAAGAAAATGCTCTCTTAAGGCTCGAATTCAGCAATTTGCAGAAGAAATTTAAAGATAAAAGTCATGAACTTAAGGTGTGTTGACTTGTCCATAGTTTTCATGAACTGCTGCTTTGAAGTCCTGCTTTAAGCTTTGTGGCACAGAGAGTGACAAGCTTGCAGAAAAAATTGCCTTAGGCCCTGCTGTGCCATACAGGTTTCTCACATGTGAAAACTCTGAGAAAGATGCTTTAAAGCCTAAGACTCTAAGCTTTATAACTTTCAGATAAATAGTTAATGATGGAAATGGAGCTCAGAAAGTAGGAGTGTGAATATGTGGCTTCTTGTAATTAGATTCTGATGGGACTGGCATTATTAATTGATAAAACCCAGGTCTGGGAGGATATGTCTGTGTGGGTCTCAAAAATAGCTGGGGACAGCATCAAAGGCAGCTTGATCAATTAATGGGCTCTTTGCAAATGTGTACTCATCAAAGCTGTCATCCAGTGAAAAAATATGACCCATCCACCTGCATGAAAAGAGGCCAATAAAAGTACACAGGTGACCTTGGCCATCAAATGTAGAAGAAGCTGCTGTGAGGGTAACGCTTCTCACTTTATATTTGCTGATTAGTTCTCACCTTTCTTTTTCGCTTTTTTGTTTATCGGCCCTGTGGTACTGTTCTACAGGACACTAAGGAGTGTGTACAGAATAAAGAAGAGCAAACCAGGCTGGTGATAAAAAATCTGGAGGAAGAAAATGAGAAGTTAAGTGCACACTGCACTGACCTGATAAATGACCTGGAGAAACTGAGGAAGCAGGAAGCACATTGGAGAAAAGAAAAATGCAGCATTGATACCAAAATAAAGGTGTGCACCAAGAATGGAATCCAGGCTTCTGTTTTAGATTTAACTTCTTTTAGGATGTGTAGTATGTGGTGTTTTCTTTAAATAACAAGTTACATATTCAGACCTGCCAGTGGGACTAGCATTAATTTATATTCCTTCACTTAAGACCCACAGCTTTTTAAAAATTGATGTTGCAAAGCAGGAAACTGACTTCAGATAGTTTTCCTAAAATGTAATCGTTAAAAAATAAAGAATATTGCACGCGGAAATAAAATATGGTTTGAAACACAGCATATTTAAAACCATAGGTTTTGAAAATTAAACTGAAATTTATAAATAGAATTCATTGCAGTATAATTTTAATATTATTTACGAGGTCCTTTAAAAAATAAAAGGTAATAAAAACAACATAGTTTGAAAAATACTAACTTAATAAGTGTTTAGAGGAGTCCTGGTGTGGTGCTGCAGGTGAATGCACTGGACTGCAAGCTCAGTTTGAACCACAAGCTCTGCAGTTCCTGCTCACCAGCCGTTCCTTGGAAACCCTATGTGGGTAATAGTGGGTCACTGTGAGTTGGAACCCACTCGATGGCACTTAACAACAATGTAAGTGTTTATAAACACTGTTATCTCTGACTTCTTGTTGTTGTTAAGTGTAGTTGACTCAGTTCTGACTCATAGTGACTCTGTGTAGGGTTTACAAAAAGCCACTCATAGATTTGAACTTTTGACTTTGCGATTCAAACCAACCTTTCTCTCCAATGCTTATTCTATAGCGCCACACCAGGACTTCTTAGGTATGTTGTTGTTGTTGTGTGCCGCCGTGGAGTCAGTTCCGACTCATAGAGACCCTGCACAGGGTTTCCGAGGCTGTTAATCTTTACGGGAGCAGAACGCTTCATCTTTCTCCCGCAGAACAGCTGGTAGTTTTGAACTGCTGACCTTGCGGTTCGCAGCCCAATTTGTAACCACTATGCTACCAGAGCTCCTTATTCATAGTAAATTTTTATTTTTACTTGAAATAAAAATTACAACCAGTTTTTATAATAGTCTTGGTTTTGTATAATCAGTGTTTTTTAAAATAACACTTTTTGTAGCTTTTTTTTACATCTTAAGAATATTTTCTGTTCATTGATTCTCCCTCACATTTTGATTTCTTTTAACCATAGATTTTGTTGAAAAGGCCCCAGACAAATATTTGTTGTTGTTGGTTAAGTGTTGTTGAGTTGGGTCTAACCCCAAAGGGTTTCTGAGGAGTGGATAGCAGTTTGAACCAGACACCTTGCATTTTAACCAATATTGTGGTTCAGTACTTATCTACAGTGCCACACCAGGACTCCTAAACACAATTTGTTGCTGTTGTTAGGTGACATCGGGTTGGTACTGGCTCATAGCAACCCTATGCACAACAGAATGAACACACTGCCCAATCTGGGCCAACCTCACAATAGTTGTCATGCTTGAGCCCATTGATGCTGCCACTTTGCCATTCCATCTTGCTGGGGGTCTTCCTTTTTTTCTCTGACCCTCCACCTTACCAAACATCATATCCTTCTTCATCGACTGGTCCCTCCTGACAGTACGTCCTAAGTATGAGAGACAAAGTTTCGCCATCCTGGCCTCCAAGGAGCACGCTGGCTGCACTTCTTCCAACACAGATCTGTTGGTTGTTTTGGCAGCCCATGGCACTTTCAATATTCTCCTCTAACACCATAGTCAAAAGCGTCAATTGTTCTCTGGTCTTCCTTATTCACTGTGCAGCTTTCACATGCATATGAGGTTATTGAAAATACCATGTCTTGGGTCAGGTGCACCTTAGTCCTCAAGCTAACATCTTTTTTTTTTTTTTCTCAAATGTTTTATTGTGAATTATGTGATAGTTTACATGGGAGAACATTACATTCATTCTATCATATATCGTTTCATTGCCATGATTACAATCCCCTCCATGGATCATCAACCAACCAAAGGGTATACTCTACAGGCCTGCCCCCCGGTCATCAGCACACAGCTCCTCTCCCTCTCTGTGTCTAAAGTTCCCAGCTGCTCCATCTCTACACATCATCATCTCTGCCTCCATCTCAGGCATCATTGTTCTCTGGGTAGGGTTCCACTCCCCGATTTTCTTTCTAGATGGTCCCAGGGACCTCTGCTCTTAGACTGCATAGTCAATCACTCCCCTCCTTTTGCTACAAAATGTCCACCTTTACAATTCCAACCCCCACAGTCAGTCCTGATAACAATCATTCACTATTGTGTCTCAAAAGACCTATCCGCATTTCTTTTTATCAGCCCCACCTAGACAGATTGTATACTACTCAGTGGAGATTCTACTTTCCTACATGCCCTCTCGGTCTAGGTTCCGTCTTGAAAGCTTGTTAGCCAGTCACTTCTTGCCTTTGTAGTCCCTGCCCCATTTTGGGTAGCCAATGTCCAAGTTGCCCATCCCTGTCTACTCTGTGTATGGAGTGGGTGGGAATGATCCTTGCTGTGAAGATTTGTTTCCTCTTTTGAGCTACTGCATCCATAGGTGTAGGTCAAGTTCATCAAATTGTATCAGATTACTCTTTTTTTCCTTTTCTTTCTTCTTCTAGTTGAGCTCTAGTCATCCAGTCATTGAAGCCAGGTCAAGTGGGTACTATCTGCAAGTGTGGGTGTTCTTGTGCATATGCCCTCTCTTCTTATCAGCTGGATGCGTCACTCTTCACTCTAGTCCTCTGTGGCTATGTCACTGACTCTGGGCCGAAGAGTCCCCAGGTCTTCCCACACTGCTGGCCAACCAGGTCTCCACCTGGGTTCACAGTTTTCTATTGAACATTGTAGGGCTTAGCTTGCAGCTTCATTGCTGTTTTCCCTTCACTTCCCCTTATTGGTGACGAACGTGGTCACCAATCAGAGTGCATGTCTGCTCATGTATTCCCATTGAGTCTTAGTCTTGGAAGGAGGTTTGCACTGAGGTGAACCGACCACTTGCCTTGATGTCTCTTGGGCAAGCAACTTGCTTGTTCTTTTATTAACAGTTGGTCTGCCTATATTGTTTTGTATTTTTCCTGTAGGGCTTTCTTTCAAGAAGTATCTTATGTTCTTCTAGCCACTCCAAGCTGGTCTCAAGCCAACATCTTTGCACTTCAATACTTTAAAATGGTCTTGTGCAGCAAATTTGCCTAATGCAATACGTCGTTTGATTTTTTGATGGCTGCTTCCATGAGTGTTGGTAGTTGATCCAAGAAGAATGAAGTCCTTGACAGCTTCAGTTTTTCTCCGTTGATAAGAAGGTTGTTTATTGGTCCAATGGTGAGGATTTTTGTTTTGTTTACATTGAGATGAAAACCATACCGAAGACTGTGGTCTTTGATCTTTATCAGTAAATATTTTAAGTTCTCTTCACTTTCATCAAGCAAGGTTGTATCATCTGCATATTTTGTTGTTGTTGTTAGGTGTCATCGAGTCGGTGCCGACTCATAGCGACCTTATCACAGCGGAACGAAACACTGCCTGATCCTGGGCCAAGCTCACTATTGTTGCCCCACTTGAGGCCACTGATGCTGCCGCTTGGCCAATCCATCTTGCTGGCGGTCTTCCTCTTTTTCTCAGACCATCCACCTTACCAAACATGATATCCTTCTCCAGTGACTGGTCCCTCCTGACAATATGTCCGAAGTATGAGAGATGAAGTTTGGCCATCTTGGCCTCTAAGGAGCACTCTGGCTGCACTTCTTACCTGTTGGTTCTATGGGCAGCCCGTGGCACTTTCAATATTCTCCTCCAACACCATAACTCAAAAGCATCAATTCTTCTATGGTCTTCCTTATTTACTGTCCAACTTTCACATGCATATGAGATTATTGAATACACCATGGCTTGTGTCAGGAGCACCTTAATCCTAAAGCTGACATCTTTGCTTTTCAGCGTTTTAAAAAAAGGTCTTGTTTAGTAGATTTGCCTAATGCAATACCTCATTTGATTTCTTTACTGCTTCTGTGAGTGTTGATAGTTGATCCAAGAAGAATGAAGTCCTTGACAACTTCAATCTTTTCTCCGTTGATATAGCAGGTTGTTAAAGAGTCTTCCTCCAATCCTGATATCAGGTTTTTCTTCATATAACCCAGCTTCTTGGATTATTTCCTCAGCATGCAGGTTGAATAAGTATGGTGAAAGAATACAACCCTGTTGCACACCTTTCTTAATTTTAAACCATTCAGTGTTCCCATGTTCTGTTTGACAACTGCCTCTTTGTCCATGTACAGATTCCTCATGAGCACAATTAAGTGTTCTGAAATGCTCATACTTCACAATGCTGTTCATAGATTGTCATGATCCACACAATCAAAAGCCTTTGAGTAGTCAATAAAGCATACGTAAACATCTTTTTGGTATTCTCTGCTTCCAGTCAAGATCCATTGGACATCAGCAATGATGTCCCTCTTCTAAATCCAGCTTGAACCTCTGAAAGTCTCTGTCAATGTATCCTTGCAGCTGTTTCTGTATTATCTTTAGTAAAACTTTGCTTGCATGGGATATTAAAGATATTGTCCAATGATTTCCGCATTCCGTTGAGTCACCTCTCTTTGGAATGGGCACAGATACAGCTCTCCAATCAGTTGGCCAGATAGTTGTCTTCCAGATTTCTTGGCATAGATGAGTGAGTGCCTTCTATGCTGCTTTGTTGAAATAATTCAATTTTTATTCCATCAATTCCTGGTGCCTTGTTCTTTGCCACTTCCTTCAGTGCACCTTGGACTTCTTCCTTCAGTATCATTGGCTCTTGATCATATGCTACATTTTGAAACGGTTGAATATCATCCATTTCATTTCGGTAAAGTGACTGCATTCCTTCTATCTCCTTTTGATTCTTTCTGCATCATTCAATAATTTGCCCAGAGAATTCCTCAATAATGAAACTCGAAGCTTTAATTTTGTCTTCACTTCTAGCTTGAGAAATGCTGAATGTGTTTCCTTTTTGGCTTTTTGACTCCAGATCTTTGCACATTTTGTTTTAATATTTGACTTTATCTTCTCAAGCTGACCTTTGAAATTTTCTGTTCAGTTCTTGTACCTCCTCATTTCTTGCATTTGGTTTAGCAACTCTACTCTGGAGAGCACGTTTCAGTGTTTCTTCTGATATCCATTTTGACAGTTTCCTTATTTCTTGTCTTCTTAATGACTGTTTGCTTTCTTCCTGTATGATGTTCTTGATTTATCAGGTTGAAGAAATTACCTCTATACCTCGTTTATTGAGTATTCTGTTATGAAAGAGTATTGGAATTTGGCCAATACGTTTTCTGCATCTGTTTAAACATACCAGTCGCACCTTGGAAACTCTGTTCTGAGTCACTATGAGTTGGAACCGACTTGACAACACTCAATGAAAAATAGCATTGAGATGACTGTATGGTCTTTGATTTTTATTCTTTTGACATGGTGTAATGATTAATTGGACTTTTGGTGTAGTGCTTTGGATCAGCACTGGACTGCGAACCACAAGGTCTGTAGTTCAAACCCACCAGCTGCTCCTCGGAAACCCTAGAGAAAGTCTAGTTAGAACAGACATGATGGCACTTAACAACAACAAATGTATTAATTGTTTTGTTAATGTTAAACGAGTCAGGCATTGCTGGGATATATGCCTCTTAATCACTGTTTTTAATCTTTTGTATTTGTTACTGGGTTTGTTTTGCTAGTATTTGGTGATGAGTCTTAAATATGTGTTCTTAAATGATGTTGTTGTTATATGCCATTGAGTTGAGGCAAGTATTATAAGAACTTTGATTTTGATATCTGAGTAAGGATATACTCACAGAATGAGTTGAATAGTGTTCAAGCCTCTTCTGTATTTTTAGAAAGGATTTGAATAACTGGTATTAATTTTTCTTTAAATGTTTAGTAGTGTTTAAAGGAGCTCTGGTGGCGTAGTGGTTGTGAATCGGGCTGCGAACCACAAGGTCAGCAGTTCGAAACTACCAGATGTTCTACAGGAGAAAGATGAGGCTTTCTGCTCCTGTAAAGATTTACAGCCTCGGAAACCCTGTACAGGGTCGCTATGAGTCGGAATCGACTCCACAGCACATAACAATAGTGTTTAATGTAAAACAAAGGTGTCAACATCTAATTTAGATTTATAATAAATTAATTCTAATGAATTATAAATGTTTTACGAATCCCAGGGTGTCAAAGACAATTTAGCACTTGATTACCAATCAAAAGGTTGACATTTGTAACCTACCCAAAGGCACCTTGAATGAAAAGCCTGGCCATTTCAGAAAGGTCTCAGCCTATGGATCACATGTCTACTCTGCAGCACATGAATTCACCATGAGTTGAAGTTGACTTGGCAACAAGTAGTTATGTGCTTTGGTTGATAGAAATGTTACAACTGTGTAACTTTATTCATCCCCCACACCTATTTTGTGCTAGTATTCTTACAGGTATTTTTTATGTGTTACAAACCAACAGTATGTTTTTTGTAGTTTTTATAAATTTAAATACAACAACAATTAAATAAGAATAAGAATACTACCAGTTTCATGTAATTTACAGAATAGTTAGATAAACATAGCAGAATTATTTAAAATATATTTGATTGTTTATTATGTTTGACTGTGATGTAAGTACTCATAAGTACTCTAATTTTAGGTCTTCGAAGACAATTTAATTGAAGCAAAGAAAGAAATTGAAGTATCACAGAATAAATACAATGCCTTGTCATTACAATTGAATAATAAACAAACTGAACTTATCCAGAAAGATATGGACATTACCCTGGTTAGGTAAGTATACTCAGTTTTAAATTTGGCATTATAGAAATGTCATTAGATATTCAGAATGTCATCACTTATGTTTATTATATTGCTGTTGTTAAGTGCTGTTGAGTCAATTCTGACTTATTGACCCTGTGCAGAGTTTCCACTGACTGAGTGGTGGCTTTGAACCAGTAATCTTGTGGTTAGCAGTCTGTTGCTTATTTTGCAGCACCACATGTCAAAAACCATGAAAATATGTGTTTTATGGGTACATAGGAGATCTTGTGTAGCCCTGTAGGATAAGCACTGGAATTCAAGGTCAGTTTGAACCACAAGGTTGGTGGTTCAAACTCTGGTTCAAACCCATCAAACACACCTTGGAAACCCTATACAGGATTACTATGAGTCAGAACCGACTCAACAGTATTTAGCAACAACAATGGGTATATAACCTATATGATGTTAATGCTACCACTTGTCTGTAAGTGTGTCATACTGTTGTGGCTTATGTGTTGCTGTGATGATAGAAACTCTGTCATTGGTATTGTATGTACCAGCAGAGTCTCCCTTACCTATGGTGGACATGTTTTAGCTGACCTTTCAGACTAAGACAGCCTAGAGTAGCTTGAGAAAACAAAGTAAGATATTTTAATGACATACGCAAAGACATGGAGTTAGAAAACCAGTAGGGAAGAACACCCTTAGCATTTCTCAAGCTGAAAGAATTGAAAAAAAATTCAAGCCCCCAACTTGAGACGTTAAAAGAGTCTATGGGCAAAATTTTGAATGATGTAGAAAACATCAAAAGATGTAGGAAAGAATACACAGAGTCACTGTACCAAAAATAAATTATTGATGTTCAACCAGCTCAAGAGGTAGCATATATCAAGAACCCATAATACTGAAAGAAGAGTATCCCTTCACAATACTTATTCAATCTGTATGCTGAGGAAATAATCCAAGAAGCCGGATTTTATGAAGTAAGAACATGGCATCAGGATTGTAGAAGAACAAACAAATCTGTGTTGGAAGAAGTACATATAGAATGCATCTTAGGAGCCAGGATGATAAGACTTCGTCTCTCATAACTTTGTCTTTCATAACTTGAACTGATATGAGGAGAGACCAGTCACTGAAGAAGGACATAATGCTTGGTAAGGTTGAGGGACAGCAAAAAAGAACACCCCTGGTGAGATTGATTGACATGATTATAGTAGCATTGAGCTCAAAATTAACTACAATTGTGAGGATGGCACAGGACTCCCCATTGTTTCATTCTGTTGTGTGTAGGGTTGTTTTGAGTCAGAACTAACTAGATGACATCTAATAACAACAAAAAATGTGTACATACATGTATTCGTTGGAACTGTCAGGAATCATATATACCAAACTGGGAACAGTTACCTGGTAGAATCAGGGTATTTATAGAATTGGTTAGAGTGTGTTCAGAGTATCTTTAGTTTTAACAAGAACATTGCATTCATTCACTGCTGCCTTCCAAGGGACCTAGCTATATGTTTTATACTACTCATTATTGCTATAAAGTCTATAATATACTGGGTAGGTAATGGCATGGAAGATGAGTTAATTGAACAGCCTGCCTTCTTTGTCAAATGATTTGAGTTTTTCTCTTGGGAGGCAATTTTGAATACGGATCTGTGTTGGAAGAAGTACAGCTAGAATTCTCCTTGGAAACCAGATGTCCAGACTTCATCTTTCATACTTCAGACTTATCAGGAGGAACCAGTCCTGGAGAAGGAAATCATGTTCAGTAAAGTGTTGAAAGTCAGAAAAAAAGAGGACGACCCCCAATGAGATGGATTAGCACAGTGGCGGAACAATGAGCTCAGGCGTAGCAACAGTTCTGAGGTTGGCGTGGGACTTGGCAGTGTTTCGTTCTGCTGTGCATAGGGTGGCTATGAGTCAGTTTTGACTTGATGGCACCTAACAACTACAAACCAAAAAAAAAAAAAATCAAAGTCAAGACAGGGCAGTCATAATTTTGGTCAGGAAATAATATAGTTTTCAGTGTCTCTAAAATATGGAGATAAAATAATGAAGGACATGTGAGACCTATGTAGAAAATGATGCACCATTACTGAGAGCAATACAAGGTCTAATTGTTGTTGTTGTCAGGTGCCATCGAGTCAGAACCGTCTCATAGCAACCCCATGCACAGCAGAATGAAGCAATGTCCGATCCTGGGCCAACCTCACTACTGCTGCAACACTTGAGTCCATCAATGATGCCACCTGGCTGATCCATCTCGTTGGGGGTCTTCCTCTTTTTCTCTGACCCTCCACCTTACCCAGCATGACATCCTTCTCCAGCGACTGTTCCCTCCTGACAATATGTCCAAAGTATGAGAGACGAAGCTTAGCCATCCTGGCCTCCAAGGAGCACTCTGGCTGCACTTCTTCCAAAACAGATCTATTGGTTCTTTTGGCAGTCCATGGCACTTTCAGTATTCTCCTCCAACACCACAACTCAAAGGCATCAATTCTTCTACGATCTTCCTTATTCACTGTCCAGCTTTCGCATCCATATGAGGCTATTGAAAACACTATGGCTTGGGTCAGGTGCACCTTAGTCTAGTAAGTAGAGGGATATGCAAGGTTCACGACTTAGATGTCTCAGTATGATAAAGATATCACTTGTCTCTAAATAAGACATTTCAGTTCAGTATACTACCAGTCATAATAGCATCAGTTACAAGCTTTTACCATCCCTAGTCCACAAGGGCAAGGAGAGGATCTGGTACTCTGTCTCAGTGAACAGTGTTGCTCTGGGAGCACCCGCTGCCACACTACAGTTCAGCAGAGAGAACACCAGGGAACGGAGTTTCCTGACTTCTTCTCAAATGTCTCCTCCTCACCATCTCCCACTGGGCCAGGCCAATTAGAGCTGGAGGAGAAGGAACAGCTGCAGTGAAGTCTGTAGTGGTTGGACACGAGAGTAGGACAGAGATGAGGAAGAGTGAATGCTGTTTGGCACATTCTCCCTCACTTCTTGGTGATTATTGTTTATTGATTTTTCCATATCAATTTTAGAATGAGATTACCTAATTCTTGTTTTCTGTTTTTATTAAAATATCACATTGACAGATAAACTTGAGGAGAATTGACATCTTCAGGGTGTTCAGTCTTCCTGTTCCAAATAGAAAGTACGGGATGCCTTGCTATTGATCTCAGTCTCCATGTATGAAATTTCAGAATTTCTTGTTAAATTTATTCCTGTTCTTTCATGGTTTTGTTGCAATTTAAAATGGACCCTTTCCTTCCCATATACATATCAAATAATTGCCTTCTTATTGCTTACAGTTTCTGATATACATGTTTCAATGTGCTGTGCTTTGATGGGTGAAATGTTTTGTTTTAATTGTGAATTATATCTAACTTTTTTCAGTTTCACTTTGGGTGACTTTGAATGGTGACCTGCCTTTGTTGATGTTTTTTCTTCTCTGTGTTTGTTGCTCTATCATATCCTTCAAACAGGTGGACAGGGGCCACCAGGATGTCAGGCTCCTAGGATTGCAGACTAGAATGTGCTTTGGTGCTTGAAGGACCTTTGGTTTGAAAGCTTAATTTGCCTGTTCATAGTCTTTGTAATACATTTAAAGTTGTGTCTAATATATAATGAAAAGTTGACTTACCCTGTATTCAGAACTGTCTCATGTAAGTAGAGTTAGCATCAGTGTTTATAAATTTCTGGAACTAAGTGTTAACTTAATTTCAATAAAAAGGTGGGTACTATGACTGCAGACCCAGGGTTTTTATTATTCACAGACTATAAAAGAAAATTGATATATACTCGGCTTTGAAACTCAGGAGTTCTATCAATACTTTCTAGGTGTGTGTGATAAATATTAAGTACTTTATATATTAGTTCTTTTATTAAGAATTTTTAATTATTAATATTATTGCCTGTAGTAAAAAATAACAGATGAAAAAGAGGTAGCTGATCTGTAACCTTAGGTGGACAGTGTTACTGGACTGAAGCGGCTTCCCTTCCCCCCTCCCTCCCGCCTTCCCTCCCTCCCTGCCTCCTTCCCTCCCTACCTCTTTGCCTCCCTTCCTCCCTCTCTCCCTCCCTCTCTTCCTGCCTCCCTCCTTCCCTCCCTGCCTCTCTTCCTCCCTTCCTCCCTGCCGTGCTCTCTCTCCCTCCCTCCTTACCTCCCTCCCTTCCTGCCTCTTT